GTGAAGAGTTCTGTAAATCAGATACAGAATCGTGTTCATTTGCATAAACTTTAACTTGGATTTTCTTGGGCAAATTCACTTTAATTTTGAAAATTTTAGTGAAACACAAAGGAACTAACCTAGACGTTCGATAAGCAATCTACAGTATTCGTGTCCGTGTTGTATCATACAAACTCTTGGCTACGCCTCGAGTTTGTATTTCGGAATATAACACGGCCACTCATACTGTATATATTACTTATAAATTCTCGAACGCTATATAAACTTGCATGTCGAATTTAAAACATGAATGTAGAATATAAAACTTGAATGCGGAAGTTCAAAACTTGAGTGTAAAATTCGAAACTTGAATGTCGAGTGTAAAATTTGTATGTGGAATTTGAAACTTGAATGTCAAATTCAAGGCACGAATTTTGGCGGGGATCGTACGCCATACATCTGAGCATGTGCATCGAAGCTGAAGTTGAGCCTGCGGTGAAATATTAGCCTTCCCGCCATGTTCCCATGACAATCTTGACGTTATCCTATTCAAAAAATTTCGGTTACGAAATGTTCTCCGTCCACACTAATATAGTCTCCCTCGCATCCGTTTTTAGTGTCGGTCGTCACGCAACGCTCCCTCCCCACACTAAAAACGGATGCGAGGGAGACTAACACTAATACGGCTAGCCGGCGTTTTCAAATTGTTCTTTTCTGGAGATCGTATTCGAAAAGTTCCGTTTTCGGTGAAGAATTGTTCCGGATTCGCCCGGACTAGTATGGACGGTAGACCGAATAAATAAAAATTCGGATTCAAATTTATCCGGCATAGTGTGGACAGGACCTAATACATAAGTTTGAAAAATCTGGTGAACTGTGCAGAATGTATATATTGTGCCGTGAATGTGAGGCTAGTCCTGAAGTCTTGAGGACTAATTAACAGCCACTTTAGCTCACTTACGATTAAAACACATTTCATAACATACAATCCTGCTTGAAATTTATCAGTTGAAAAAAATAATACTGGACGTAGGCAGTGTACTAAGGCCCAGGGCAAACGTCGAACTAACCATGAGCTTAATTTAGTCGAACCTATTACATTTGAAATAGGCTCTTGCATAGTACGAAGCTTGCTCCAATTGAGCATAAGTTCGATAAGCCAAGTCGGACATTACGACTCTGGAGCGACTTTGCTGCAAATGCCGTTTTAAACACGTGCCAAACTGAATTCATAAATTATGCAAAATAGTAAATAAATCATGCAAGTCGCATGACTTACACCAAAGCCGTGAAAGCAACCACTCCCCCACCTCCTAAACACTCATCCCCCCCACCCCCCCCCCCCTGGCGAGCATGCGCTATACAAAGATGAGTGATGAATGAGACAGAGGAGCTCTGGTTACGAAAATAAATTAAAAACTATTCAAACTAAACTTGTCCGCGTTTAGAAATTCCTTGCCACGAGACGAGACTCTTGAGTCTCGTAGTTCTTGTTTTCACCAAGCAAAATATGTTTGCCTGGTTTGCGAGATACCGACCTGCAATAAATGTGCTGTATTCGAGAGCAACGAAGATGAGCCGGGCTGGATGACAGGCAAAAGCGTTGTGTATGGGAAGGTACAATCGCTGGACCCCCATATGGACCCCCATATGGACCCCCTTATGGACCCCCTTATGGACCCCCTTATGGACCCCCTTATGGACCCCCTTATGGACCCCCTTATGGACCCTTGTATTTCGA